TTCAGAATCCCAAATCCCAAATTAATTTGTGCATCCCAAATGTACAAATCCCAAATGTAGATCAAATCCCTGTACTTACTCTTCTGACCAATAAGCATCCAGGATAATAAAAGGATCATAGATCACACTCACAAATTCTGTGTGCTTATTGGTTGAGCAGGAAAACTGATCTACATTGGGATTTGGGAATCTTTCAGTAGGCTGTCCCAAATTTAATTTGTGCATTTGGGACGTCACAATCCCAAATAGTTTGGGATTTGGGCAGCATGTATAATTTGAACCTTCCATCTGGAATTATTTTCAAGTAATTTCTTGTCAATATGAGTCATGTAAAATTCTTTCATTTAAATATTATTCTGAAATTTTGTAGTCTGTTGCACTTTAGAATGTTAGAATATTTATATCTCCAATATTTGGGTTATTTTCTATTTGATTGGTGTGCCATATTAATTAGCGTAACATTTATTAAATTGTACTGGTTTATTTCTTGTTGAGTTATTCCGTGATAATCATTTCTGAATTTTCACTTTGTAACACACATAAATCATCATTTCCAATTTATATGTTTGTTTCCTGTGATTCATAATTTACTATTTTACATTTTGCCCCGTCTTAAGTTTCAATTGTCCCAATGAATCATTTTTCTATTGTTCATTATTTTCCCAAGAATCTTGTTCTGATTCTAGATTAAAATGTGGGCAGTGGTTACTATTTGTTAACAAGATGTTTAATCTTTCCTTTGTATGTTTATGTAATTGTCTTAATTTCTTCCAATAACTCACATGAGCAGGTGTTGACGGTCTAATTGTTATTTCTATTTCCCAATATAATATCTCCATTTCCAATTGTTGTATTTGATTTTGTAAATGATGGTATGTTTCCCAATTCATATTATTAGGTTCACTTGTCCAATGTGTTCTTCAAAACATTGTATTATGTAAACTCTGTGAAGAATTATTTTCATTTTGGTTTCTATTTGGTGACGAATGTCTAACAGGTGCCATTTTTAATAATTGAAAAAATATTTTCAAAAGTAATTTGATTCAAGGCAAAAAGGAATTACTTATATAATAAAATTTCAGAATGTATTTTTGATTTTAAGAATTTTTCTTATCTAGTGTAACAATAATAATTAATTTAACTTTTTCCGAATTAAGAATAAGATTATAAACTTTAATTAAAATA